TGCGTTAAACCTCACTGTGGAGGAGTTGGTTTCTATAACAGAGCTAAATAAGTTCCCTTGCAGGGAGTGCATCATGTAGCCTATGAAAGTTTACAGCAAATGATGTGACTAACACCTTTTGGGCCTGATCTTGCATTCTTTACTCATGAAAATTCACTCATTGGAGCAAATTCTCCTCTTAGTTGTGCTGATATATGCAACAAAGACTTTAACAGAGTCACTCTGAAATTACGCTGGGATAACTGAGTGCAGAATTTGGCCCACTGACTTCAAATCATTCACTAGCTCAAATCACTGACTACTCACATGAGTCATGGTTGCAGAACCAGGTCCTTTATTTTCATGAATTACAGCTGAAACACATAACTTATGAATGGCAGAACACAGCAAAGCCATGAGTGGGCTGAGCACAGTCAATTCTACCAAATTACAATGAGAAATGTATCACACTGTCTGCTGTCAGGTGTAATTTATCTCATACCAGAAGGGTGACTGAAAAGCAGGTATAGGCAGGAACTTACCATGCCGACAGTTGTTCTTGTTAGGCCTGATCTTGCAAGGTGTTGAGAATGCTCAACTGCCAGTGAAGTCAATGCAAATTGAAAATGTTCAGGACCTTGCAGGATCAGGCCTATTATAAGTACAACTGAGGAATAAATATGACAGAATGATTTTTCCATTTTCCATTAGCATGAGGTGTGTGTGTGTGTGTTTATAATGTAAATGATAAGCTAAAAGTATATTTAGGATTTCAGAGCATACAAAAGCAAATAAAGCATGTAATGCAAAAACCCAGGAAAATTATCCCCTACACTTTAATTTTTAGGGTGCTGAAACTTTATTTTCTGCAACTGTATCAAAGAGTCAGCAAAACATATGATATCCACCCCTATTCGGCAAAGTATTTAAGCACACATTTAAGTGCTTTGTTGAACCAGGGCCTATAAAATTTGATTAATCTACAATACTTGAAGCTCTTATGAAATGTTGATAGCCAAACTGAAAAGCATTTAATACCTTGTATAAATAAACCAAAAAGCTCTGCATGTGTGAATATAGCTGTGCCTCCATCTGTGGCCACACATAAGAACATAAGAACGGCCGTACCAGGTCAGACCAAAGGTCCATCTAGCCCAGTATCCTGTCTACCGACAGTGGCCAATGCCAGGTGCCCCAGAGGGAGTGGACCAACAGGCAATGATCAAGTAATCTCTCTCCTGCCATCCATCTCCATCCTCTGACAAACAGAGGCTAGGGACACCATTCCTTACCCATCCTGGCTAATAGCCATGAATGGACTTAACCACCATGAATTTATCCAGTTCTCTTTTAAAGGCTGTTATAGTCTTAGCCTTCACAACCTCCTCAGGTAAGGAGTTCCACAAGTTGACTGTGCGCTGCGTGAAGAAGAACTTCCTTGTATTTGTTTTAAACCTGCTGCCTATTAATTTCATTTGGTGACCCCTAGTTCTTGTATTATGGAAATAAGTAAATAACTTTTCCTTATCCACTTCCTCCACATCACTCATGATTTTATATACCTCTATCATATCCCCCCTTAGTCTCCTCTTTTCCAAGCTGAAGAGTCCTAGCCTCTTTAATCTCTCCTCATATGGGACCCGTTCCAAACCCCTAATCATTTTAGTTGCCCTTTTCTGAACCTTTTCTAGTGCCAGTATATCTTTTTTAAGATGAGGAGACCACATCTGTACGCAGTATTCGAGATGTGGGCGTACCATCGATTTATATAAGGGCAATAATATATTCTCAGTCTTATTCTCTATCCCCTTTTTAATGATCCCTAACATCCTGTTTGCTTTTTTGACCACCTCTGCGCAGCGCACTGCACGGACATCTTCAGAGAACTATCCACGATGACTCCAAGATCTTTTTCCTGACTTGTTGTAGCTAAATTAGCCCCCATCATATTGTATGTATAGTTGGGGTTATTTTTTCCAATGTGCATTACTTTACATTTATCCACATTAAATTTCATTTGCCATTTTGTTGCCCAATCACTTAGTTTTGTGAGATCTTTTTGAAGTTCATCACAGTCTGCTTTGGTCTTAACTATCTTGAGCAGTTTAGTATCATCTGCAAACTTTGCCACCTCACTGTTTACCCCTTTCTCCAGATCATTTATAAATAAGTTGAATAGGATTGGTCCGAGGACTGACCCTTGGGGAACACCACTAGTTACCCCTCTCCATTCTGAGAATTTACCATTAATTCCTACCCTTTGTTCCCGATCTTTTAACCAGTTCTCAATCCATGAAAGGATCTTCCCTTTTATCCCATGACAACTTACTTTACTTAAGAGCCTTTGGTGAGGGACCTTGTCAAAGGCTTTCTGGAAATCTAAGTACACTATGTCCACTGGATCCCCCTTGTCCACATGTTTGTTGACCCCTTCAAAGAACTCTAATAGATCAGTAAGACACGATTTCCCTTTATAGAAACCATGTTGACTATTGTTCAACAGTTTGTTTTTCTATGTGTCTGACAATTTTATTCTTAACTATTGTTTTGACTAATTTGCCCGGTACTGGTGTTAGACTTACCGGTCTGTAATTGCCGGGATCACCTCTAGAGCCCTTTTTAAATATTGGCGTTACATTAGCTAACTTCCAGTCATTAATGTCATCTTTGCAGTGTGGGCTAATAGTGCTTTTCACTATTACCAGCTGTCTCACTCAGCAACACATATCCTTTTCTCCTACACCAGCTCAAGACCCAGAATCCCTCTCTCATCCATAATAATTGCAAAGGCAATTTATAATCTCATGGAAAATATTCCAGAGAGCAATGAAAACAAAAGGTTTTGTGACTTTATCTCAAGAACCAGAACATTGAATCATTGGGAGTTTTGCCATTGAATTCAATGGGAATGAAAGCAGGCCCTCCTGAGTAAAGAATGGGATAACCATTTATGTCAACTCGAACACTGAAGGAACCCAACTGGCAAAATGAAACAAAATAACCAGAATCTGTCTCTCTTTAAATACAAAATGTGTGCTCTGATACCGCTCTACTACATATCCCCTCTGTTTGGTTTTCTGACTGAATGATGTTATTCAAACTTTAGAATCTAAGGGTCCAATCCTGCAAACCTTTACTCATATGAGTAGATTCACCGAAACAATGGGCAAGGATTACTTGAGTGAGAACGGGTTTGCAAGTTCAAGCCTTAAGAGATAAAGCACATGCAAATGCAAGACAAGACATAACAAAATATCACACAATACACTAGTGTCTGACCAATAACTGTTTTGTACTTGCAGCTTAAAAATCAAGAGGAATACACTTCTGTTGGTTCAACAAACAGAAGTAACAAATCTGTATTATAAGCCAAAACCTCTAAATAAAATCTGTGCATTTATTTTAAACATATTTATATTTTGCAAGTTACACAGTTGAAGTTTCTATTAAATAACTCTGATATGGGGCATATTTTTTAAAATGTCAGCAGTGATTTTTTTTAATGTGGAAACAGATGTGCTATTTCACTGCAACTGCTGCATATTCTCTGTATTTTCTTTATACTGTGAAACATCCGTCTGTTGTTTTGTTATAAATCTTTCCCCACTGGATAGATTTCTTCCTTGTAATTAAATACTAGACTGAAGTCTTGAAATAGATGATCTCCTGAAAAATCATGTTGTTTTTTGCCTAATTTTAAAATACTGGCATTTCAATTAATGTTCCTTTTCCATGGACCATTTCAGTGCACTACCTAGCCTTGGACTGAAATCACAGCCATATGTTTTATGACATCAGAGGCATTTCAAGGTGTCCCCATAAATGTCATTTACTGCTTGGGAAACTGTCAAATCAGTGCAAAAATCCCTAGTTCTTCTGAGGGGAAAATACTTGAACAAAAATGTAGCTTTATACAGCTCCTTTATACTGAAAAGGCTGTCCCTTTGAAGAAATACAGGTCATGTTGACAGCAGAACCTCTGACAACTAAACTGCTGACCTGATTCCTGGTTTGCATTTGGGATCAAAACTGCTTTCTTTAGCCAGTGTGACCAAACACCTTGTACTGTGCATCTCATACTTCCTGTTGTTCAGATGTGAGGCATTTGACCCTTAGACAGAATAAACACATTCTTATAAGCAAGCTATGTTATTCTTCAATCTCAGAATACTAATTTTGGCGGATTTAGTTACAAATCTAAAGCTAACAAGTAACTCTTATGAGATACTCTGACGAATATGCTTTTAACCCTTAAATCATTGACATTCTTCAGCTGCCAGCCTGGGGCCCGATCCTGAAAAGAGCCAAACACCTCCCATGTGCATCTCCTTCCATGGCGGTCCACACCTCACAGAAAAAGGCCCCAAATGAACACCGCAGAGGGTTTATGTATGCATCTCTCTGCAGTTTCTCCTGCCTTAAAATACTAGGCAGATTAAATAATCCACACCAGATGTATCAGTAACATGCAATAATTATACACAACTTTGACCTGATGTGTAGTTGCAAATAAATACATTGTGTGCTGGACATTCTGCTGAAAATGAATGTCTAGTGTCACTGCTGTTGAATAAGTGAGTACAGATCATCTAAGAACTCTACCAACCAATACAACTGCAGCTATTATAGGGCTTCTGCTGGCTGACAAATGTATCCATGAGCACCCATGTAAAAGACGAGCTGTTGTTTATTTTTTAACAAAAGTTTGTTTTAAAATAAAGAAATTGATTCATAGAGTGATGAATATTATAGGACAGTCACATCAACAGGTGCTTCAAACATAGCAGTATGGTGCGGAAGATGTTGAGAAAGAAAATGAATAGACTGTCTAAATATTACATATATTTTGCAGTCTTTTTTTCCTATAGAACTCTAGTGAAGTTAATGTATAAACTGGAGATTGAATTATTTATAAGTTTTGAATATATGATAAATCATGTTTCACATTCCACACAGGTAAATGTATATTTCCAAGCAATGAAACGAAATAGGCACACAGCCTGAAAACACTGGGGTCTTACCTGGAATCTGGATACTTTGTCAAGGTAGCCAGGCTGCTGGTGTACATGTGTCCTCCTACATCGATGTGCACAGGAGCATTGGATTTGGTGAGTTGAGCTGGGAGAGGAATTCCTTGAGCTGCCAGGGGAGAAACTGGGGACCGTGTTAGAGACAGACGGGACATGCTTCTTCCCTCCTGGAAACGGAAGACAAAAAAGAACAGTTTCTCTTAAATGTAACTGTGTGTTACCTTTATTTCTAGTGTGATCACAGATCTAATCAGATCATTTTTGCATCTGCCTGATCACATATTCAGCTAACAAATTATTGCCACCACTGTAATTAAGTGTATTTGCATCATTTTCTTCAAAGTACCAGAGGGGAAGAGAAAGATGCTTATTAGCAATAAGAAATCAAGAAAAAAAATTTCAAGGTGTCAGCCTCAAGGGGCATAAAACAAACTGCAAAATTCTAATTAAAGGTCGCGGGCTTATGTGTTAGATGTGAAATATCCCCTGACAAACGAATAACCAATTTGTGAATTGGGATTCAGGGGTTTTTGCAAGTTTGTCTCAGTAACGAGACACCTCTAAATTAGTGATTTCCTCAGTACCTAAGGCATTTAGTTTATACATGTAGTACATTTCACATCAAACTATGAAAAATAATAGATTTTATTTTTAATCATTACAAAATAAATTGATAACTATTGATTATATCTTAATAGTAGATATAATGAGGGACTAATAATCTTTCAAACTGAAGGAAATTAATAGCTGGACGCAACGACGGCAGAAATATATATAAAATGACCACAGTTTTCATGACACAAAGCTTTCACAAATGCCATAGGATCTAGCATTAGAAATCAGAAATATACATATGAACGTGTGTATATTTATTACTTTAAAATATCTGAAATTAAATGGAATTGAGTCTAAATATTTTTAGCTGATTTACAAAGTCATGCACTGAATTTCTGCTTCTGTAAACCTAAAACAAATATTTAAAAGACTTTCAAAAACCCTGTTTGATGTGGAAGGGACTGCTAGGGCAAATATATATATATATATCCAAAAACTCTTCAGGTACTATAAGAAAAGGATGATAACTGATTCTCTCCCAGATACCAACATGTGTCTTACACAACTGATTTAAGTTAAATAAAAAATTATAGGTAACATACATGACAAATGGAAAAACTGCTCAAGCTTTCGGAAGTTCTATCAGACACCAGTGTGTCTTACACAACTGAATAAAATCAAATAAAATAATAATGAAAACATATATGACAGATGGAAAAATTGTTCAAGCTTTTGGAAGTTTTATAAAATTCCCCATCCTTTCTGTCACATATGTGTAGAACAACATATGCAAAATATTATAGTTAAAAACATTTCTGAATAGAATCTAATTTTCCTGGTATTTTGTTTTGCAGTCAAGCTACCAAACGTCTAGGCTCTTCCTAACATCTGATAGACGCTTTATATGCAGTATTACAAAGTGAATGTCAAATTCTTCCAGGTTAGTTTGGTGACATTTCTAAGAATCCTAAAACTGGTCCCTCCTTTCTTTTAACAATAAATATTTTGCACAATATGCTTGCCCAAACCATTCAGTGAACATATAATTGACAAGATTCCTTAAAAACATGGTTACCAAAATATATGGAAAGGGACTGAAAATATAATGTATCTCGACACCTTTAAAAGAAAACCAAACGACTAGTCTATTCATCTAGTTTCGTTCATAACAATTTTAAACTACTCCAGTACAGAAATACATCACCCCATTATGAATCCACATCCTTTTCTCTTCAAATGCAGAATGGACATCTGCACTGAATGCGAACAAAATAGCAACACTGTCCTAGAACTTCTGTGTCAGTCGATGTGAAATTGGCATTAACATTTTTACTGTAGCACCACCTTCAAGGAAAATGACTGAATCCTTTAATGACTAAAGTTGTTGCTTTCTTCTTTCCCACAAGGTCCTGTTGTGGGCAATCTTTAGGAAATATGTCACATCACAAATAAAACTACTAATTTTTTAAAACAACGTAGTACTTTAGCAGTCTGTTCTCTAGTTGTGGATGCTATATCTGTCTACCAACACAGACAAGGATGTGTTCCTACCAAAGAGCACTGCAAGCTCATGTTCATTCTGTACTCCTTCACTTAAATGTAAGGGTCAGTAGCTACAAGCTGAATGTCAACTCTGGCTTTGTTCTAACCCTAACTATTATCACTAATGATAAAGGTATAGACCTTGCAGGATACAGACCTGCCTTGGAAATACACCTCATGGAGTTTTACAAAAAATATGCCTAATTAGGGCTCATCTGGACCCCTACAATTTCTAAATGAAATCAAAGAACTTGTAGTTCTCTTTAAATAAGTCTTACATTTAACCGTTTGTCTTGAAATACAGACTCCAATTTTAAAATATGCACAGAAAGCTAAAGATCAAGTGATCTGAATCTATTTGTGCATATTTAAACACTGCTACTGTCTTACGATTTTGTTTAATGTTAGTACATCAGCAAATGCCTTGATCTGCAAACTGTCTGAGACTCTCTGTGAGGCCATGCCCATACAGTAGAGATATTTAATTTATACTATTCACTGGAGGGACTTTTTGAACAATCCTCTGCTTTTGGCATCACTCAGCTACAGTATGCATTGAAAAAACACTTAATTATAGAAAATCACTGGAAAACTAAAATAGTTCACAGTCTTGTATGGATTTTCATACTTATTGAGGGGTTTCAGGCTTTTATTTTGGGGGAGGGAATCAGAAGGAGAACTGAAATACAGGTTTGTTTAGTTAGAGAAGATTAATATTATAAAATAACCCAAATGTTTAATAAAGTTGCAATAGCCAATGATTTTTGTATTAGTTAATCAACAAAGAGCATAGGTCTTAAACACTATCTAAACGGTGTAAAAAGCACTTCCATTAATCCTAAAAATAAATATTCCTGATTCCTTAATCCTAGTTTTTATTGACTCTCTTCTTACATGTATTTCTCAATATAAACTGCTGCTAAAATTCACCATATCAAGTAATATATTTATTTTATCCACAGAGCTGGATCTTAAAAGTATTTATCCTGTGGAATTCTGTGTTTTTTAATACTGATGTGAAAATTAGAACCTTAAGGGTAAATATTGAAGAAACATTAACAAATTTCATTTTTAAACCATGTAAAATAATCCATGTTCTTTAGTTGCCTACAAAAGGGTATAACATCACTACTAGTGGCACAAGCAATAACCCTGCTCTAATAAGTAACACAGGAACCTGCTAACGGCAAAATCAATAGAGCCTGATTCCCAAATTATCTGAATATTTAGTTTTCCAAACATTACACACCAAGATTTTTCAGAGCCAGCTTATCTTTTTCTGCCTTTCTAAGCTAACTGCATAAGTACTGCTTGTAAAAACTATTTGCCCATGCAAAGTGAAATAATCACAATGCCATGCTCATTTACACACAAAATGATTTTGTGTCCCATTGTGCTCACAGTTGTTCAGCTCTCTAGGGGTGATTAAACTAGCTATGCTGCTACAGCTTGAGATGATTTCACTGAATCGTTTCTCCATGAAGTTGCTTCTTTGCTAAGCTGTTATTTTAACCATAAAAGGTAAACAGAAGGCAGCTGTAAGAGCTCCATTCAGCTCCATGCCCAGGGCTATCACCCTAGGGCCGAGAATGCTGAAAGACTGCAGAATTTTCCAGGGTGTTGCCTTTCTTCCTCTGAAGCCTACAGGAATACTGTTCATTTAATACACACTCTAGATGATACATTTCAGATCCTACTAACAGAAAGACTTCAAAAGTGTAAGAACTTTTGGGCGAATGAAGCTTCCCCACCTCTGCACATAGCTTGGGGCCATGGTAACCAATACTGCTGTTGATGTTGGGAAAATACAGTAGAAATAAACTGCACAGAGCAAGGCAGAGAGATAGGGACAAGGGAGGTGAAAGGTTGCAGAAGAGAAACAAGAAACAGTCTGGAAGGGATAACAAGAAAAAAAGGGGAAAGAATTAAAAAGAAAGCAGCTCTGAAGGAGGGACAAAGTTAAATCAAGGAACAGACACTTAAAAGACTACAGATGGGAACCAAGACTAATTAAGGATGTAAAAGTGCTTTGTTTCTAAAGTTTATTGTTGCCAGGATAAAAATTAATTGAAACTAATGCTGTTATTCACTCGTGCAGTTTAATTCCTTCATGCACATTTAAGACATGAAATGAAAACTGCAGGTTTAAGGACTTGCCATGAAACAGCTCTCTCTATAAGATGTTGAAAGGGGGCATCTTTCAACCCATATGCAGCCAGCTAGCTGTGTGTGCATCAAAGGCACAAAGTCCAGTCTGCTGCAGGACCACTGACTCGTCTTTAATGAGATCAGCACCAACATCTGTTCTCTGACTGGTTCCTTTATTGGATTCTCGTTGAAGCTTTTTCCCCCCAGAGACCTTTCTTTCTTTAACAGCAGATCTATTATAGCACTAAAAGTAAAACCACCGTTTCAGCCCCCCGACACCCCATTTCAAGCACTTTGGAGAATAACCAGCTAAAGAACTTAACCTTGCACTCTCGTGGCTTCATGGCACTGTCTGTATTTCCAGGGAGGTAGGATTCAGCCCAGCCAGAGGGTCAAAATTAAAGAGACTTGGCATTACCTTTGTCTCTATAAACACGTAAACATGATAATATCCAGAATCTGCCTCTTAGGCGACTTTGAGCCGATTGTTTATTTTGTGAAACCAACCTAAGACAAAGAAGTGATCAGGTTATTTTAAAACCTTGGCCAATGGGTTACAAAATAAAGTCCATAAAACATTTGCACACACCTTAACACTGCTTCAGAAAACCCTGGACATTTGCTAGCAAGTGGATTAAGTCAGAAACTTTTTGGGAGCGGTTAGCTTGTTGAGCTCTCGTTTAAAAAAAATTCTTTTCCCCACTCTCCTCCCCCCATTCCTAGCACTCTCCAATCTATTTAGTGTAAGTTTCACGTCACCCAAATGCCTTTCCCTGCTGATGGTCAGGGAAATCACCAGTAAGCCATGCACACCGGCCACTAAACTTCTGGCTTTTTTGTTAGAAATATATACAGCAATGCCCAAAGGTAAAATTCAACAAAAAAAAAAAAAAAAAAAAAAAGGCACAACATGGCGTCCCTTACTTATTCTCGCATAGCAAGAAAAGAGATGCCTTAGATGAATGCAGGGGGGGAAATCTGCACCTCCGATCCTATATATTTTATGTGCAGCCAATGGTGGTGAACATTGGCCAGACTAATGTATTAATTTTGCAGAAGTGTGCCACATTACATGTAGGAACAGAAATGCAAACTATAGCCTAGAGTGGTTTGAAGTCTACACCAAATCAAACCTTCCACTCTGACTGGCGCCAGAGTTTCATTCACAGACCGCCCGTGTTTTCCATATTAAGCTTTGTCATCTGCCTTCCCCCTTTGTGTTTAGACACCCTAGAGACAACCCCAAAGGACGGACCCACAAAGTCCCCACCAGAACCAAGAGGGTCTCCCCTGAAAGCAAAAGGGGGAACCAAATCACAAACCATCAACAACCCCCCGCACCCCCCCAAACAAACATCCCCCCTCCCTTCACAAACAGTGCAAGGAAAAACAACCCCCCAAACCCCAGCTTCCCCCTCCCAGCCCTACAACGCGGTGGCAGCGGCTGCTGCCTATTGCAGCTGCCCTTTTGGAAAGTGCAATTGTTGCCAGTGCTCCTTGTGTACCATTCAAAAGCCCGGGACCCAATTAGCTCTGCCTCCTCCGCACTGCGGCTTTGCCCCCGGATCCTTTGCCTTCTTCAGTGCTGGGGCTAGGGCGGCAGCAGCAGCCTAGGAACCCCGGGCAGCGGGGCTCCAGCAACACTGGCCATGCTTTAGAAGAAGGAAACAAACCATACACACATGCATGCACACACACACACAGAGCACCAGCGCTATCAAAGGAGGGTGGATGAAAATGGATCCTGTAGCTTTAAAAAAAACCCTCTGTCTCTTCTCCAGAGCCAAGATCTGAGTTAGTTTCAAGAAGAGGCACTTTCCAAAAAAAAAAAAAAGCCATGCAATGCAATGCGCACTCCCCAGTCCATGCAGGGAGAGAGACAGGAGCAGCAGTCAGAGCAGCTTTCCTTACCTTGAACACAGAAGAGAGATCTGCAAACCCCCCTTTTGCTTTGGGCTCTGTTGGGTTTGTGTGTTGATGGGTTTGTTTTTTGCTTTTATTACTATCTTTGTTCCTTAGATCCTGCTGTGATTATTATTATTTTTAAAGCTGCTTCTTCTCTCTCTCTCCCTCTCTCTTTTTTAATGCTTCTTCTGTTTATTTTGTGTGTGTGTGTGTGTGGAGAGGGAAAAAAAACCCCTTAAAATGAAACTGCCGAGGCTGTTATGAGAAGAAAGGCAATAATCCCGTCTCTAAATAACAGAGGGAAGGGAGAAGAGGAGGAAAAAAGGCGAATTCTTGCTCAGGGCTTTGCAAACGCCTCCAGGGCAGAGGATTAGGCTACAATTAGCTCAGCCCTTTGCTCTCGCCCTAGCTAATTTTGCGATGAAAATTGGATATTTTTCCCTCCTTTTGCTGGAGATCTCCAGATTAAAAAAAATACCTTTACAAATAAAATTAATAATAAAAATAATACAAAATCAGATGGCAAATCCCAACCCCCCCTTCTCCTGCTTCCCACCCCCCTCCCCAAACTAACCCCCCTCTCTCCTTGGCTGCAGAATCCTTTTGCTAACGGTTTGGGTTGCCAGCTCCTCTCCTTCCTTGGCTGGGGGGATAACGGTTTAATGTTGTGGAATATCAGGCCACTGTCACGTCCTTCAATAGACTTACTGAAAAGAAGAAGGAGGAAGGGGGGGGAAAGCTGATTTTAATCATTGTCATTTGGTCTGATGTAATATTTCCCCAGGCATTTTCAACTAGGCATAAATTTTCAGCTCCCAAATAAGTAACACAGGGCACGTTTCTCACATCTCTTGACTCCTCTGTTACAATTAGGGTAGCACCCACTCTGCACTTGTTGATAAACTAGATCAAGTTAACCACACACACACACCACAAAAAAACCCTACAGCAATCAAAATGCAGATCGGGGGTATTTTTGGGGAGAGGGGTTTGCAATTATTCCCTTCCCCCCTCCCCTCCGTTTTCCCTCCCCTCGCTCCCTTTTCACCCTTTGCTAATGTCTCGCATTGTAAACGCCAAATTTCCTGTAGGCCATTAAAACCAAATGACGTCTATCGACATGCATTGTGCTATTGCAGAAAGCGCCCTGGCAGGCCGCCCCTGGCCAAAAGCGCCATTTCAATTATAGCGCACGGCTAGATGGAGATGTCTGCCATGAAGATTTCCCAGGCAGACAGGCAGCTCCACAGGCGCTCCGCTGGCTTGGCCACAACAGCAGCCGGGGCTGCTGCTTCCCGTCGCTGTGCCTCCCCCTTTGGAACCTCACCCCCAGCCCCCTCCCTCCAACCCGCAGAGCAAAATCCTCCAGAAACTTTTAACAAAAGCAGATTGATTTGGTTCCCTGCATTTATTTATTTTTTTTGCAGCTAACTCAATCTGGGATATTGATCTCGAGGGAAACCTGCATGCTCGCCCTCCCCCCACCCGTACGACCCCCCCTCTCCCACACAATGATGTTTACCTTGAATAAACTTTTAACATTTGTGCGTGTGGTTGAATGTATTTATTATTAATATTATTAGTGGCAGGTGGCCAATGTGGCATATGGATTTCATGAGAGTTGCCTACTGGGTCAGCCTTACACCAAATATATATATTTATAATATTCGTCCTGGAATAAACTTTTTTTAAAAATCTGTCTCCTTTAATTTATTTATATGATTTAATACAGATTAGGTCTTTTTTTATTTTGCAGATCACCCATCTGGCTAATGAACACTATGAAAACATCCTTCTCAGCCCCTTCCTCCTAAAATTGTGTTTATCTCTGAATGAACTTTTAAAAAACTGTGTGTCCTTTGTTTCATTTATGTGATTTCATGCAATTCGACCCCCTTGTTATTTTTGCAGTTCATCACTCTGCCATGTTGATCTCCAGAACGTACCTTTCCTTGACCTCCACCCTCCCTGAATTTTTTCAGTGCATCATGACTTTTCAGACCTTAAGAGTGTAAGGATGGGATATATTTGTGTGTGTGTTTGTATTTGTATATTACAAATAAATGTCAGCCTCTGTGGACTAGAATTAGGTTAATTTTAGATCTTCAGCGCCTACTAGCTGCAAACAACTGTAAGTGCAGAAAAGTTATGTAATTATTTATTTATTTTGTTGTTATTGCAAAGGTCAGGCCATTTTCATGGTTAAAGGGAAATCAGAATTGCTTGTCCTCACCAGAGAACTCCTCTGTCAGACAGAGGATCTGAAGCATTGGGCTTGCCACTCTTTGCTTTCCTGACATTTATGGGCTGAGCAGGAAGGCGTGGGAACTAGTTGGCTTTTTTATTATTTTTATTATTGCACCATCAAGGAACAAAGTGAGAAAGGCAGAAACCCCTAAAATTGAGGTTTTTTAAAGTTATCTTCCATGGCAGGAATAAACAGAAACTTTTTTCCTAAGGGTAGTGTTTTTTTTTAAGAGTACAAACTACAGCAGAAGAGGGAAATTTTCTCATTAAAGTTACATCCCTGCAGTTAGTTCAATTACTTGATATATGCAGAAGATGTTGTAAATTTAAAGATTTAAATAGCTTACAAAGATGCCGGAGGCTCCATCAGTTAATTTCCTTAATTTATGGATTTTTAGCTGAGCTTCTGAAATGAAAAGGAGAATGAGAACTAGGTCAGCTGAGAGATTTGCATCCAGCACAGACTCAAATTTGTTTTGCCTTGACCATCCTACCAGGTACCTTTTTTAGCAGGGGCAACAGTTTCACCTTTGGCCTTTGAAGTCTCTGTATTGCCTATGAAAGTCCAGCACAAAAGGGTGGATTTTATTTTAAACTAACCTCCTGAACATAACAGTGTCTTCAAACAGCTGCCTCACCATAGCAGTGGACAAGATTGTAGCCTAAGTTTCCCTTTAACAGTTCAACAAGTGCAGTTCCAGGAGAGAAAGAAAACCCACTGAGACTTTAAGTCTTTTGCGGCACAAGTTAAATAAGACTCTTTTGGTGAAGCACAGGCTGAAGATTTTATATGATTTAGCAGCTTAATTTTTGTTTCATCTGTAGGTTATGGTCTAAGTGACAAACATAAAATAAGTATGAGAATCATGAGCAGTAATCAAAACATAACTGGAAATATAGTGTTTCTATATCAAGGCTCAATAAAGAGGAAACAGAAATAATTACAATATTTTATTGAACAGAAAGTAGAAATTGCTTCCTTACTCAGTCCCAACCCATCTCAAAAAGGTATAATTTAATTGTACTGCATAGTAATAAAATGTCTGGCTGGGTTGTTTTTTTGTTTTGTTTGTTTTTTAAGATAAAAGCAAAGACACAATTGTAGTTGAGAATGAAAAAGATGTATGTATTACACAGTATTGTTTTCATGGTATCTCGAAAGGGACATTGTTCTCGATTTAAGGGTTTTTTTACCCATATTACTGTAGTAGATAGTAAAGGTGTTCTGTATAGCACTACATGCACTCACTCAGTTCTTTCTTCTCACTCAATTGTGTGAATGCCACTTTGTTGTTGTGTTTCAATATGTATGAATATATACATATGAATTAATACTTAAAAGATTTATATAAACTAAACAGTTTTAGGAAGCAACATTGCAATATTATTAGTGTTGGTGTTCATGCTTTAACATTTCTTTTCCCACTAGATGAAGTTTCTAAGATTTGCAAGGTACATGTCAAGGACGGGTATATAAATGGATTTTTATTTATTCACAACTCCAAGACTAATTGCTTCTCTTTGCCTGAAGGCCAAGAGATTGGTTTTAATATGACACTTCAAAAGTATTCATAGAACTACACAGATACTAAGTGTCATTGTTTAAGAGAGAAATCTGGCTATGGTACTTGTGACCCTGAAAATAAAATCTTCCACTGTTTTTCAGAGATTCACTTCAAGCTCAACTGTTAAAAAACTGTACAAAATAAAATATTAAATACTTTGAAGCAACCAAGAAAAAAGAAACAATTTTAGAAGTGAACATAACTTATTTTCTTAGCAATATTATCGCATCCTTTATAAAAGAAATCCAAACTCATAATATAAAATTCCTGAGCTCAGGCATGAAATATTATAATTAAAATTGGTAAGTTAGAAGATAGCTTACCTTAAGTGTTTTAAAAGTTCTTGGCTAAATGTGAAACGTATTTTATTAGGTATTAAATAGCACAGGCAATAAACTATTTTGCATTTTCCTTATCAACATTTCTTTGTATCCTGTTGCAGATGCTTAATTTGTATTGAAAAGGACAAAACCATTTTATAACATATGTCTTGTTTTATCTTATTATTACATAGTTTGAGTTTGAATTTTTTCATTATGCTAATCAAAGATTTATTGGTAAGTATTATTAAGAGGTGAAATAGAAATCTATAAAAGTCACTACATTTCCGTTTTCTTTAAACTGTTTTCATGTTGTCCTGAAACAATGCTTGATGCATATTTTATAATAAAAACTTAAAATAAGATAGGGGGCCAACACATGCACAAGTTCAGATTTCCAGGTGTCCTAAATCTCCTTTCAGTATAATTTACTGAAGTCTTTCCTAAATCTCCTTTCAGTATAATTTACTGAAGTCTTTTAAAATAATCATATCTGAAAATTACTACTCACATCAAAGAAAGTGTGAATGAAATAAAAAGAACATACTGTTTCCATGAATACAGTAGTCACAACAGTAACCTCTTAACTATTATTTCTTAATTATTGTACAAAGAACCACAACAAGTGCATATTGCAGTCCATGACTGATCTTGTTATTGTATGGTTTGTCCTGTGTCATAATTTACCTCTGTACTTGTTGCCCTGTTGTATTATGTCTGAAATTAGGTTCCAATCCTGCCTTTACTAAAGTCAATGGTAACACGCCCAGTAGGATCAAATCCATAAATTATACATTTCTGGGGCAGGCGCCTTGCCTTTTCATGTTTCTGTAAAGTGCCTAGAACACTTTGGGATATTTTTAATAATAATAAATAATAACAATAAGTAAAACAGATCACTTATGATTTAAAAAAAAAAAACAAGAATGAAACAGTGAAGGATTGAGAGCTAGATGTCTGTCCCTTTAAAACTAATATCTCCATACAGAATTATATTTCTTCCTACTCATGGCTAAGAAACCATTACATTATGGGTGCAGTTTTGCCTGAGGGGAAAGTTAGAGAGCTGAGCAAGTACCTTGTGAACCAGTGCTTCAAAAATAATTGTTGGACCCAAGTGTGTCCTCAATCAATTAAACCTTGGTGTCTTGGATGAGTTTTCATTGGTATGGCTGAGGGTAGAATTTTGCCTTCTGTCAGGGTAAATAAGGCCAAACACAGAAATGAATAAGGAACAAGACACATCTCCTGGTGAAGAAAGTATAGATGCCAGGGGACTTGTAACCAGCACTAATGCTTCAACTGGTGAGAATGAGATGGAACCAAAAGATGTGAAGACGATGCCAGTTCAG